AAACCTCTAGGTGCCCAGCCGGCTGCCTGGGTACCCTTGAATTTTCCTAGTCCCTACAGGATTCAAGTATTAGGTATTTCCCAGGATGCTTGCATGGCTGCAGGAAGACCCATTCCAATACAGCCAGCATGGAAGGCCCACTAGCCACCCCCCTCACCTGAGGAACTGCCAGAGCAGCTGCTCTGAGGAAGGGTACTTCCAGGTTCCTGGAGCCCCTCAGCCCCTGTTGCATGTTTAGTACCTAAAGGAGTTGCTGCGTGGGGTCTGGTCTGGGTCTGACCCTTTGGGACGTGGCTTTGCTAAGTGTGTGTGATCAGAATGAATGGAGTGGCCATTGTCTTTCAAGAGGCAGATAGAAGTGCTTTTACAGTAATACAAGGAATATTAATTACACGGGGTAAAGAATACTGGTGTTTTAACCCAATTCTGAGACATCCAGGCCATGACATCTGCTCATCTGTCAATCCACTCACCTGCCCAACCATCCGTTCATCTATTCGTTCACTGATCCCCTCAACAATCTAACCACCCACCTGTCCATCCATTATCCATCCATCCATCCAAACATCCATTCATCCAAAGCATTCATACATCCAGACATCCAGACATCTGTCCATCCATTCCATCCAAAAATGCATCCGTTCATCCATCCATCCAAGCATCTGTCTATCTATCCATTCGAACATGCATGCATGCATCCATCCAAACATGCAAACCATCCATCCATCCATCCAAACACAGATACATACATACATACATTAAAACATCAGAAGGCACCCATCCACTCAGTCTTGTGTGAGCAGCTGCGATGGGCTGAGCGTAGCCCTGCAGAGAGGCGTGGTGAGCAGTTGAACACGGCACTGTCCCTCGTTGCTGCAGTGTGCCCATGATGGAAGAAATCCCAGTCCCCAAATCAGTAGGAACAACTCCCAGTGTGCTGAACCCCCAAATGCACTTTCTGGCTTATGTAGGAATCATGTATCAAACCAGCCAGACTCTCTCAGGGAACCAGGAGGTGCTGGCATTTTTGTCATTTCTAAACCACTGAGCCATGGCATAAAAACATGAGGGGCTTCCATTTTCAGTCCGTCCTGAGAAGCACTTGGCTTTCTGACTCAGACATTTCAGAAAACACTCCGATTCACTTAGGGGAAAAATTCGTGCGAGGATATCAGTCTGCTTAGCAGGGGGCAAAGTGCCTGCTGGGCTTGAGTGCATGTGGGATTCAGCAGATGAGCACAGCGTCTTCCAGTGTTTGGCACCTGGTGTGTCAGACACAAGGTCCTGTTTTAGTCCTGGCCGGCAGGCGCGCAGTGGCTGGTGGGGCTGGCCCCGGTTACTGATTGATGAGTGGATGGGACACAGCGTGGAGCATGTGGTTTCCTGGCTCCTTGGACTGATGGTGCGGGAGCTGGTGGTGACTCTGCCTGCTGAAGGGAGCCGTCAACAGGAGCTGAGCATGGCAGCGTCTACCAGGACAGGACCATGCGGGCGCAGGTGCTGCTGGGAGATGCCAGGACTGAATGGTGCGGGCAGCAGTGGCAGACCCTGAGGCTGGTCCTGGGCCCATGGAGAGGCGGGCTTGCAAGCTGGGACCTTGCACCCGCTGCTCAGGGAACGTGCTCTCTGCAGAGAAGTGGCATCCAGGGTCTTAGCAGGAAATCTCAGCCTGTGTTTCCATCTGGTTCTTTAATCCTGGGCTTCCGGTGGCACTGGCCACGCTTATTAGACATCTTCTCAGAGGCAGGAAGGAGCCAGGGTGTGGTGTCAGTTAGCCTGGGCGCTCAACCCCTTCTTTGTCTACTCAGGCAACCCCCTAGGCCACCCTCAGCCTGCTCATCTGTCAGAAAGCAATGGCAGTGCGGTAGCGAGGTCGTCGTGAGAATTTTGCAAGGTTCTCTTCATAGTTGGGTCCTTTTCTTTCCAGTAGCTGAGCATGTCCACGATGCAAGGGGAGCCCAGGGCTGGGCCAAGCAAAGGCCAGTGCCAGCTACGGCCCAGAACCGAGCCTATAGCTGGCTGGCAGGGGCCCAGGAGGCAGCTGGAGTGCCTGACAGGACACTGCTCAGCCTACCCTGGGGACCTTGTGCCGGTCAGCCAGATCGCCTGAGGCGCGGCCTCCTTCCACCAAGGATGGTCAGTGAGTTGTGGCTGCCCGTGCATCCTTAGGGATGGCTGTGTGGACAAGAGTTGCTTGGACCTCAGGCTTCGTGAGGGCCAGCCTGCCTGGGGAAGCTTCCCTGGGCATCCGTGTGTGCTCTGGGTGTTCTTGTCCAAAGAACAGCATGGGTCTGGAGGCATGATGGGTGGTGGGCTGTCAGGGGCCTGGGCAGGAGCATTGCTCTGACCTGCTGGAAGGCCTGGGGAGAATCGGCTTCATTTGGGAGAGGCTGCCGCTAGACCTAAGGAGTGTGGAGCCTTGGGCGCAGTGCTTGGATCTGGTGGTCTCCAAGAGCAGGCAAGGCTGGCGGAGGTGTGCCAGGTGGGCATCGTGAGAAGGAAGCCCCAGGCAAATACTAGCGGGGACTTGGAAGAAAGGGCAGGTGATCACTCCCTAGAAGTCAGCCTAGAAGACCTTGCGGGGCAGCCCCTGGACTACAACTAAACCAGCAGCCAGTGGACAGGGCGGTGGGGGTGCAGTGCTCCAGGGGCTCTGTCACTGTGTTGCATGGGGAGGGCATTCCCAGGCTGACTCCGACTCTCATAAGCGCTTGCTCTCTCTCTCGCTCTCTCTCTC